TCTCTCTCTCTGCGCATGCGCGAGTGTGAATGGTAGAGTGAGCGGAGCGCGGTGAGCGTGAGTGCGAGTGGTTGGCGTTTTGCCAAACTTCTTTTCTCTGTTGTTGCATCGTTGTCAGTCTGTATCTGTAGTTTGTTTGAGTGAGTGAGTGAGTGAGGTGGGGTGGGGTGTGTGCGGGGCGTCTGTTACCGGCGTTTTGCTGGGAGCATGGCGTCCCAAAGCCCCAGGCTGTATGAGAGCCTGTCTCGCCGGCATGGTGTGAAGGTGGAGTGCCGCGCGAGTGTGGAGGAGTGCTGTTTGGCGGCGGGGAGCGTCGTCGGGTACAATAATGTAGTGTCTGCTTCGCGCATGAACAGCGCTGTGGTGATGTTCCTGTCCACTGTGGACAAAGCCAACGAACTGGTGCAGAGTGGACTCGTGATCAGTGATCAGTTCGTGTCTGTTCTGCCCCTCAGTACTCCCTCCAAAAAGATCATTCTGTCCAACGTCCCCCCGTTTATCTCTGATGAGCTGATTGCTCAGGAGCTGTCCCGGTTTGGGAAACTTGTCTCCCCCATTAAAAAGATCCCCCTCGGCTGTAAATCGCCCCTGGTGAAGCACCTGGTGTCGTTCAGGAGGTTGGTGTTCATGGTGCTGAGAGACGGTGAGGACGAGCTGGACCTGGTGCTGAAGTTCAGAGTGGAGGGGTTTGAGTACACGGTGTTTGTGTCGTCTGACACCAACATGAAGTGCTTCAGGTGCGGCCAGACCGGACACCTCGTCCGAGCCTGCCCTGAAAAACTCGGCGTTAACGTGAATGATGCCGGGAGCGCGGAGCGGCTGGGGCCTGCCGCGGCTGAGCCCGCGGTGGCCGTCCCCCCTGCGGCTGCTGCTCGGCCGGCTGCGCGGGACCTGGCGGCTGCGGCGCCTGCGGGGGAAGAGCCGGCTGCGACCGTGCCAGCCTCGGAAATGTCTGCTGGGGTTGCGCCGACCACGGACGAGCCTTTCCCGGCGGCGCTAACTGCGGAGGAGCCCGCTGTGGACGAGCCTGGTGGTGAGGAGCAGGAGCGGGGGATTCCTGACCAGGGGGAGCAAGATAACCAGGTAAGGGACAGCGGGACTGAGGTCAGTCTAGCTGGTACAGCAGTGGAGGTGGAAATGGAAGAGGAGACTGTTTTTAAAGTTCCTAATAAAAGAAAGAAGCGGAACCGAGGGAAGGGCACTAAACAGGCCAAAACAGACAGCAGTGCGGTGAATGAGGTGGAGTCTGAGAGCGAAGGCTCTCTGTCTGACTCGGGCTGGTCGGTGTGCTCGCAGGAAGAGAACATGGCTGTGCTCTATACTGTTGATGATATAAGAAAGTTCTTGCGGGTCACTAAAGGCCAAAAGGGCGTCCGTGTTGAAGAGCATTTCCCAAACAGTTCACAGTTTATTCATGACGTCAGGCATTTTAGGAGGGAAGGGTCCTTCACCGCTTTAGAAGTCTACAGGCTGAAGAAGATCCTGACCAGACTTAATAAAGTGAGCACTGAGGATGAGGTCTGATACTTCCTGCCCTCCCTGGTTCAGAATGGCCTCTGTTTTTAGTGTTTTTTATCTATTTTATTTTTTAATGGGTGATGTCAGAGTGGCGAGTCTGAACATTAATGGGGCGAGAGACTGTGGAAAAAGAGCAAAGCTGTTTGAGTTGGTGAAGCAGAAGAGACTTGATGTAATATTTGTACAGGAAACGCACAGTGACATCAGTAACGCTGCAGACTGGGCTAAAGAGTGGGAGGGGCTTGCCTTTTTAAGTCATAACTCTTCGTCTAGTGGTGGGGTGGCTGTTCTTTTATCACAGAGTTTTACTCCTTATTCTTATTCAGTGGATGAAGTTTTAAATGGCAGACTTTTAAAAGTGACAGCGTGTTTTGAAAATGTTTTTGTTTTTATTTGTGTTTATGCCCCAACTGGGGGGATGGACAGGATGTCCTTTTTGGACACTCTGGACACCGTAATTGCAGGTTGTGGTTCTGATGAGTTTTTAATACTGGGTGGGGATTTTAACTGTACAGCAGACAGCATGGACAGGAACCACGTGGAACCGCATGCTGCGTCCCGTAAGAGACTGTGTGAGATGCTGGAGGCCCATGACTTGTGTGATGTCTGGAGGAACTTCCATGGAGGGCAGAGACAGTATACCTGGGCACATTCAAGAGATAACACACTCTCATTGGCAAGGCTGGATCGATTTTATGGTTTTAGGTATCAACTTTCTGCTTTTACACGCTGTCTTACCTCCCCAGTTGGTTTTTCAGACCATTGTATGGTCCAGTGCACAGTAAGGAAACGTAACGTTAAGCCACAGAGTGCATACTGGCATTTTAACACTGCGCTTTTAGAGGATGCCAATTTTAGAGAGTCTTTTACTTTTTTTTGGGATGTTTTTAGCTCAATGAAAACATCTTTTAGCTCCCTGCAGCAGTGGTGGGACATAGCTAAAATACAAATTAAAGTATTCTGTCAGCAGTACACTCTCAATGTCACAAGGGACATAGCCAGATCTCTCAAAGCTCTGGAGACTGAAATAGTGGCGCTCCAGGGTTTAGCAGAGGCCACAGGAAATCGGGGGCATATTGAAGCTCTGAAAACTAAAAAGACTGCATTGGCTGACCTTTTAGGCATAACAGCACAGGGGGCGCTGGTCCGCTCACGTTTCCAGTGCCTGTCGGAAATGGATGCTCCTTCAAAG